GAAGCAGAAAAAATTGAGGTCTCGGAAGACCGGGCGGGACTTCTCACACCACCTGCTCACCAAACAAGTGTTCTCTGGGCCACGGTGATCAGTGGACGATGGCATTGACATGGTCTGAAGCTCCGAGAGCCTCCTTTGCATCAGTTGAACCAAACTCTCGGTGGCAAGCTACGATGCGAGGCAGGGGGGGTTACGAGGATAGGGTCCGTTCGCTGCTGAGGAAGGGATGACAGACCAGATTGACAAGTTTCGAGATTGACAGGTCATGTTCTTGCGGGCTAGTACGGGGGTGTGGCGGCAGTCCAGCGGCGGCGGCGAGCAGGCCCTAGTCCCGGCTGCCGGAGTGCAGGAGTCGAGGATGAAGGAGATGGCGCGAGGTGAGCGAGTTTTCCCCTTGGGCCCTCATCCCTCCCTGCCCTCCCAGTTCCCGTACTGGCTAGCCTTTTGCGTACAGGCTTGGCAGCCTCATGGCCGTTGAACAGGGCGAGAGAGTCAAAGAGAGAGAGGTCTTAGTGTCCTCGAGTTAGGCCTAGCTGCCAACATGACAAGTCAGGGCCGACCGCTGGTGGCCTTTCTAGCGTCTGCTCCTCCTGGGGACGCCCGTCGGTCTCGGGTTCACAAGCATGTGATGATCGCCTAGTCATCTTGCGAGCCTGTCGGTTTGTTTGTGGCTGCGCTAGGACAGCACTGGGAGCATCTTCAGGACAGCTCGATGTTTTGCTGCTCTGGTTTTTTGGGACATGGAAGGGGGGCACAACCACAGACAGAGACGAGTTTTACTTGTACAAAAGCATGAATTGGGGGACCCTCGACGGGACATCATGTGTGCCTCGGGTTCTCACCAATCGGCAGCATGGCATGGCGATGATCTGGTAATCTCTGTGTGATGGATGCACAGTCCCCATGCTGGCTGGTTCCTGGCGACCTGAAGAGGGGCCGCTGCATGTTCACATGTAGGCCTGGAGCCTTGATGCTTGTCGACTGATGATGGTGGCCATGGAGGTACCCAAGTACACCAAGTACACCAACAAGTACACTAACGTCATTACCGGGCTAGACTCTACGAAATCCCCTTCGCCTCGGCCTCGACAGTTGACAGTTGTTGATGTCCACGCTATTGCCGGTCAAGCATCACCGTAAGGATCACACATGGAGGGGAGAATCGAGATCAGGGCACATACGATCAGGCGAGGGGCACAAGCTAGCTGATCCATAGCTTCAAAGTCAAAGGGGATCCAGACTTGTGCATGCAGCTCTCTCTCTGTCTGTCTTTCTCTCTGGGGGCCTGCCTCCAAGCACGGCCACAATGAGGTTGCATGAGCGAGCTCGCTCCCTTGGGCCCAAGAACGCGCCGCAGCTCCGTCACGGGGCACTACTGCAGCTGCACTGCACTGCACTGCGAGTGCTGCACTACTTGCAACTCTGTCGTATTAGCAGCTCAGGAGTCGAGCAGCCAGGTGCGCTATGGCGCATACCACGGTCGCACTTCGGTGACACTCGTCCTTCACTATACCAGACCCGATCTACTATAGCGGCAGCAGTTGACTTGCACACACATTGCTATCCTCGGCAAAACCATGCCAATTCATCTCGTGATAGCAGCCGATGGGCAGCATGCTGATTGCTGTTGTCATACTGCATCGACAAGTTGACTTGACTTTTTCGTGGCCTATGTCGCGGAGAAGCGATTTTTGACTCCATAAGGGATCGCCAGCCGCAAGATCACATTTCGACAACTCAATTTATGTGTTCACATTTTGGAGTCATCCCGTGGGCATCTTGTTGCCCATTGCGCTCCCGCCGCCGGCCTTTAATTGGTTCCCGAGCAAGAAGAAAGACGTGCTTCAGCCGTGCATTCGCCGTATGAAGGCCACCCACACCTACGAGGGGTTCAGCTCCGACGTGGTGGTCCTCATCTGCACCTTTTGTGTAACGTTCCCGAGTACAGATGGGCAGAGCCTGGTCAGACACAATAGCCAAGTTTGCAGTATCGCCTTTTGACAGCGCCTGGACCGTGGCAGTGGAACAGCTCACCTATTCAGACGACAGCAGCGCTTGGGCTGCTTGGAGTTGACAGCAGCCTCCGCTCATGCGGCTGTTGAACGTTCCGGCATCTGCGTCGTGGATGAGCGACAGTCTTGTAACCGTTGCAACGGCTTGGCGTTTGCACGATCGACCTGAAGCGCGGAGGTGTCGCGGAGTAGCCAACCGAACACCCCCCCTACCTTATCCTGCCATCCCAGGCTTCGGCTGATCAGTGCCGGTCGCATCTATCAACCCCTGGTCCTGCTTCCCCCTTACAAAGCAAAGTACTCTCATGCCTAACAGGTCAACAAGACCCTCCCTCCACCAACAGCCAACCAGCCCCCCCTTCCCCCCTTCGAGCTGCCATGTCGATCTCGGTTGGGGTTGGCAGGTCTAGTGTCGTCATCGGCTGGGCGCCCACTTTTGCCCAAAGGCATTGTGACGGACGGGACTTGCCTCGAAGACGAGAGGGCTGGCGATCAGCGGTGCGCCGGACCTCGTAACTGGTTTTTCTCCCTCCAGGCTTCAGCCGGAATTGGCCACGAGCCCCGCGCCGGCCCTTGGCCGGGCGTCAACCACATGGTAAACATGCGCTGAACTCATGGCACTTGGGGGGGGGGAGCTAACTGCGGGCGTGTCCGACTTCAGGATGGTTGGCGGCGAACTAGACACCAACTTCTGTCGTCATGGAGGCGGGCTTTCGTCAGGCTTTTCTTTCTTGCTGCCAATGCCATAGAATCCTGCCATTGCCACGTGCGAGATCGTCGGAAGAACTGTTCTTTTCCCAGTAGCGGGCCACGGTGACCTGACAGCTTGACTCGCCTGCCGTCGCAAGCGATGATGCTGTCGCGTGCCCAAATGAGGCACTGTGGCCAAGGCAAATACTTGTTAGTCAATAGGGCGGACAGTCCAAGGGAGAAGGGCACAAGATGCACTGGCAGTATTACACTACACGGCGTGCCCAACAACCCAGGCGGGGTTGACTGGCTTGGGCGACCTGTGTACATGAACCATCAGTGCTCCTGGTAAGATTCCCAGAACCAACGAAGGACATGTCGATCAGCACAGGGGGGGCTTCCTTTCAGTGAATGAATCAAATATGCCCATCAGCTGTGACCAGCCGTCGGCCTTCCTGCTCAGAAGCGGCTTGAGAATCCATTCCGGTACAGGAGGCCAAATAGAAACAGATGGCAATGCAGTGCCTGGCAAGTGACCTCATGCCTCGCACGTGGGATGCTGACCCTACAGGACAGGTCGATCACTTGGTCCGAACTGTCACGGTCGATGACATCCAGGATCACCCAGTTCCCGGCTGACATGTCATCTCACTAGGCCGCCCTCATTCGCAAGCAACTCTCTCCTGGCACAAGATCGGGCTTGCTAACGCGCGGCCTGACGGAGCGGGCACCCACCTGCGTGCGGCACTAGAATGTCCATGGAATCTCGTGACAGGGTCTAGCTGGACTCATCGCCATGTTGGCATTGGCCTGAATGGTATCAGAGACACCAAAGACACCAAGGACGCCAAGGACACCAAAGCTAAACAGCAGACTGCGCCATGGAGATTTCCGAGGGCGGGGTGCAGGGGAGAGGGGCCGCCGTTGAACAGAGCAAAGAAGAAGGGTGCACATGCCACCACTACTCATTTCATGTCAGCATTATCGACGTCAATTTGCGTATTCCAGTATGAACGAGGCTTTGGCGGGTGTCTGACTTGAGTCGTGCTGCTGTTTTCGGTCGAGTTCAGCGACCAGTTCATAAGTCATGTCGCAGCAACACGAGGAGCAATAACAGTGCCATTGTGGCAAGCGGTTCTTTGTGACGCTGCTAACTTGGCATGCCCCTCTCGCACCTCGCGCATCTCTCATGGCCGTCGGTTCTTGTGCCGACGCGCCAAAGGCTTTTGCCGTTGTGAGAAGCGACCACGACAAGCGCGATGCGCTGCGTTGTCTTGCCAAGCTTTTGCCTCCCTCCAGCTGTCTCTGCCGACCAGAAAGCCGACCGGCCGGCTGGCAGAGTTTCGGTTAGATCAGGGAAGACGTGGAGAGGTTCGGAGTGTTCGAGACCACGACCAGGAGTCAAAGTTCCCACCAGCATCGCTAACAGAAAAGCCTAATATCGCTGGTGACTACATTATGACTCTGGCCACTACCGACCGACGCGAACGCACGCTTCGGACTGTGCATCGCCTCAAGCGAACCGGTGTGTGCTCGCTCAGCTTTCCTCTCCCTTCCTCTACTTCGCCGCGCCCGAAATCACAAGACCCAGGGCCGCACAAGACAGACAGGCTGCACCGACAACCAAGATCGCTCATCTCATCTCATCTCATCTCGCATCTGGCCTGTCCCACTGGATAAGCGCGCAAGACCAGGAGCTTTCATTGGCGACATGCGGGAGCTGCGCCCCACGGCTCACTCCTGTGATCTCCAGCGCCCGCGACGATCAGCCGGGACTCCCCTGGAAGTACATGGCCATGACTGGCTCTCTCGTTTTTCTGCTTTTCCTGCCCATGCCCTGATTTCTTGCCATGATAGCTAGACCCCTGCCACGCGAGGATGAGGGCCCCTCGTAATCCGCCCCCGCCCCTGCTCCTCCTTGGTGCCCCTTGTATGTTTGTGTGCTTGTCCTGGTTGCTGACTTTTGAACAGCGAGCCCACCCGGCGAAGGAACGAAGAAGCGGGCGAGGAAGCTGGAAAGAAGGCCTTGGAGTGACGATCGCCGACGCAACCAACAGCCCCCCCCCCAAGCGAATGTCGTCCTTCCGGGCCAGGTTGCGGTGCCTGCTTGTGCTTCTTCTTCCCTTGTGCGTCTTGTCCTCCCACCCCCCCGGAACGCCCGCATACGGAGGAGGCGTCATAATGGGCTGACATGTGTGTGTCTAGCCTTCTCGGTTACGGTACATCTTGCCAACGTCCTCTGGGCGCTCGAAGGAGGAGGCCGGGGGGACCAACGTCCTGCCGCCTCAGCCTACCCACAAGCCGCATCTCGTCCGCATCTCATCCGCATCTCATCCGCATCGCGGCGGGTCATCGTGGCTGATTTGCTCGTTAGGTGCACACGCAGCCAATGAGCCGGCCATGACCACGGCAACGACGGTGTAGGGAGCAGCAGGAGGAGCGAGCTCTCCCTATGCCGCCGCGCCCCTCCGATCCCATCTTGTCTAGACACCCGCTCAGGCTGGCAAGGCATCTAATAGCATTTGATCCATGCCATTAACTGGTATTATTGGAGACGCTCGCTCCATGCCCTCGCAGGGCCTCCCCGATGCTTGGAGCCGGGCCACATGACCCAGAACAGAGAACAGACCCACGAGAGGATTGCCGCAAGCGGTAAGGTGGCCATCACGGATCCATGCATGCTTGACTGAGCATTCAGTGCATCTCGTTCATCCCATGAACGAGTCCCAGGTTCATCCTTTGGGAACGAGGCCGCACGACACAAGTGAGGCGCTCAAGTGAATGAACCTCAATGCTTGCCTCGTACCAAATGGACGAGGGGGCCAGCTCACCGCATGCTTCGAATTCCCACTTCATCACGGCTCATTGCGTGGTTCATCTCATCTCGGAGCCCAGATTGACTTTCGACTCGTGCTAGTTGCCCGATCGAGATGGTGGTGGCTTGGAAATCCCGGCACGGCCATCGTCGTCGCCATCGCCAGCGCCGTCGGTGAGACGAAGAGACAAGGGGAGCGACGCATCCACGGGCGGGCTCGACTCAGGGTTCAGGAGAGCACCGAGAGGGGTACGCGTCCAGCCCTGCAAGTTGCCAGTGTTGCCCGTCTGGCGTGAGCTCTGGGTTTTTTTTTCCCATCTCGCCAGGCATCATGCCGGCGGCCGCATGCACGACGCAGCTCACTCCCTCTCCCACCGAAGCGCGCCCACCGCGCAGTGTGTTGGGTAGCCATTGGCCCTCTTGTTTCTGCTCTGGACCGCCCTATCATACCCTGTCTGGTTTCCTGTGCCCTTCCATCATTCGCATCGTATCTTCAGATCCATGGGGAGGCCCAGACCGGGCCAGATACCCCCTCCCCCTCCAGCTCCAGCCCAGCCCAGCAACGTCAGTCACGCCGCTGTAGCATCTAATTCCAGCGTCTCGACGAGCTTGGTACAGGGAACCTACACGACAGCCCTCGTTCGCAATGGCGGCTCGCGGACAGCCCAACATGTGATCCCAGAGTTTGGGGATGTCACGGGAAGCTTATTCGCTCCAATCACCTGCGACGCGCTCTGCTTTTCCAACGCGTCTCTACACTCCATCCATATTGGTGGCGTCCTCATCTCAAGAGCTTTTGTTTCTTTTGCTTTGCCAGGAGATGCCGGCCGGCGAGGGGGGCCAAGGGCTACTCCGTCGAACAGCGTCCCTGGGCAAAGACGTATGGAGGTGCTCAAGGGACAAGCATGGCTTCACCCGAGTCTCCCACACCCTCACCGTATCTTTGCGGCCAAGGGGAAGAATCTATCACCCTCGTCCTTGCTCACCGGCTGCGTATGTCGGACGTTGGCCTGCTTTCGCGCCCATGCGGGGGGGGGGGCGGAAAAGCAAGGAGAGACCGGATTGCTGCCACTGCAAGATTTCTGGCCTGGACTGAGCCACATGGTCATGAAGGGTAGACCCCTGGGCCTGCAGAGAGGCTGGAGGGGTCCCCCTCTCGCCTATCACGCCCAGCGTGATATGGCAGCTGTCAGGCCTGGTACGTTCTGGGTGTGCTTCAACTATTTCTTCTGGAGAGCTTCTGCGAGAAAGAAGATGGACTGTGGCACCCCTTGTTGGTCTTGGCGGACGTGCCTACTCGGACGATCGGCAGGCGACCAAGGAGCAAGTGACCGACCTGATCGCTGCCCCAAATTGCAGTACCAGAAGTAGATGAACTGCTCCAGGTTTAACCTAGCTTGCTCTACCAGCATTGATGAACGCACACGTCACGTCTGGCCGGCGGCGGCATTGTCTGTCTCCTCCGAAGGCCCAGAGGACATCAAGCGCTGGATCACAACAGCCTAACTGCATGGCCCCCAGACCAGTCCGGCCGAGTGGATGGATGAACAGACCAGTAGGCAGATGGATGGGTGTAAGGAGCAATCGATCCTGGCGGGTGCTCGCCTGCAATGCGACTCAGGCCGCAGCCAGCTATCCCTCTACGTCCCCTCCTCCCCCCTCCCAAGTTGACAAGCGAGCAGGGCCAGCAGCCAACCTGTTCCAAACTGTCGGGCAAGCTGCCGGAAGATGCGCCGGAGGTGCCCCGGCCCCGAAGACGGTTTCCATGTGCATGAGACCAGGAGGCACCATGCTCATCACTGCATTGCGCTTCTCCCAAATGGAGGAGAACCAGGTCACATCGTGTCCCATGAAGGCAACCCCATCAACACTCCCCCCCTGCCCGTGATGTGTTCAGTACATGGTCCCGCAGGGATTGGGGTTGATCAGGAGCGCCCCCCAATCACTGGAATCCCCTCTTTGGTTCCCGCATCTGTGTCCTTGTTGCTGAGAGATTAATGTTCTGTTAATAGGGGGAGGAAACAGCAACGGTCATAGATCGGCCGAGATTTCCGGAGCTTTCGCGCTCCAAGCTCGCCATTCATTCATGGTGGTACCAGAAGGATCAAGAGGGGTGGCAGCGATTTTCAGGAGCCAAACCAAGCAAGCCATACCGCAAGGGGTTCTCCGAAGCTCTGACTTTGAGCATAAACAAGGTTTCTTAGCAGGAAGGGGGGTAGGATCGCCAACCGCGACGGGCGGTCGTAGCCATCTATAGATCGATGTGCTTGAGTTCGATGGCTTGCTGAGCGCGACCTGCCCTTCAGTCATCTCCGTCAGGACTGGGGGGTGATCTCTCTGGCTGGACCCTTCTCAACGTACAGGGAGCGGACTGGCGCTCAGCATATCTGGGTCAACATGACACCACTTTGTGGAATTATCAGCCGGCAAGCCTGTCTTGGCCTCTCTCGATTCTTGCCGCCTGGAGGAGCCCAAGCAAGCATCGCACCGCATCTGTTGTCGATCGTCGGCGGATCCCAGATGGCAAAGGGGATCTTTTCCAGGGGTCTTGTGATGGATCCTCAGGCTGTGCATGTTTCTCCGTCCAGGTAGTATGTTGTATCTCGAGACACCCCTCCCGGACATACGAGGTGGGGGGCTTCCGGGCCTAACCCACCAGTGAGCAGGGAGGGGTTACAAGAGGGTTGCTCGCAACATTATTCTGAGTTGCCTGTGGTAGCAGGCGGGAGGAGGTTGCAACGTCGAGCCCAGCTCACCGGGAGCCATGCTGTCATACCTCGCTAATTCTGCGTACCTAGATATGCTGCCTCGCCCGTGGGGCATCTCTTCAGACGCTACACTCTACCCAGGAGCAAAGTCTGTAAGAACTTTCAGAGTGGGAAGTCTCGTTTCGCCGCCGCCCGTGTCGTAACGCGCTGTTGTTCGGCGATCTCTCACCCTTCCTTGTTTCGCCCATCACCGTGCCCTCTCTTCCACGACTCGCATACCACTGACCCAGTCCGACCTCGTGAGGATCTTCGTCGTTAGCACATCCACCCACGATACAGGTGGAGAGGCGGGTTTGTCACAGTGGAGGAGGGAGGACTGGGCGGGCTTGGGTGCGTCCACGCCGCTCCTTTTCCGGGATCCATGTTGCTCATCCGGCGCAGAATATGCCCCTAGTGAGAGGAAGCCAGGAATCAGGGGGGGGAGGGGGGATAAACAACTGGCCAGCCCGTTCCAGGAATGATAGAACACCGGCCGGATGATCAGCTGCGTCGTGGCGGCGGCAGAAGCAGCCAACATAGCGGATGGACGGGAGTGGTCGAGGCATGTGTGTGTGTGCTCGTTCATCATAGTTCCGCTACATTCGGCCCTTGCCAGGGCTTTAGTGCTAGTGAACTATGTGGTATACCTCAGCATAGCATGAAGTGTATCGACGCCCGAGCAAGCCCGTTTGCTTTTTTTTTTATTTTCCTCTCTTAGCCAGCTACACGAGTAATGGACCCTCAGACGGCTTTCATGTACAAGAAACATGTATCACGGGGAACACAGCCCCCTTTCATAAGACTTGGCCATCACGACAGCACGGCGCCTGGACGATGTCACCCTTCTTTCGCTCTCGATCGGAGCTGGGGATTTGGGGAAACAATGTGTGAGGGATTGAACGGGCGTCATGGGCGGCATCTCGTAACTAAAGTCCCTGGCCCCCTCCTGCAGGATACGATTCAGTAATCCCCTATTCGTCTCCAATGATCCTCCTCTCGCCTGGACGAGCCCGCCCGGTCCATTGCCTCCTTCCAGGCTAGGGCTGTCACTGCCGGCACCAGGAATCGATCTTGGCGCGTCTGCACGGGCGAACAAGTGAGCCAGTATCTTCTGGTGATCCCCATGGGTGGAGAGTGTTGCTGAAGGGGTTTGTGTCAATCAGATGGCATGGGTGGCTGGCATGTTTGAAGTGAGTGATCTTGGAGAAGCTGTCCCTTTCATTTGCAGGCTTCATACCCCCCCGTCATTGTTTCGTTCTCGAGATGCCCTTCGGGTGCGAACGTGGCAGACGATGACAGGGACAGAAACGAAGCACAGGAATGAAATGGTATGGGACCAATGTCACCCCCCCGTTCCCAGAATTCCCGTCCCATGGTACTTTGGGAGATCGCCCTCGCTTCTAACCCGCCAGGCGGGAGGGAACACTCCCACTCCCACACCAGCCAGCCCCACCTGACTATGAACGGATTTCACCGGTCCAGGGCCCCGATGGAGCGTTCGTCTGCGCCCGCGAGGCGCATGCTGCCCATTCACGATGAGCCTTGGAGATGAGCACCATCATCATCGATGCAGTCAAGCTGCCGCGTGTCGCTTCCGGGCCGTAAGGCATGTCGCCTATTGAAGGAGAGCGCGGACGGCCAGGGAGGATCGAACAAATGATCCTTCATCGGTGTAATAGGATCGACCCGAAGAACTCTTGGCTACCGACAATGCTCCCAAGGAAGGATGTAACTATACTAACCACATTGTGCCTTCAGGTTTATCGGTGCCAAACTGCTATTTATCGCAGTACAGTCCGTACAACGGCGCAGTGGATGCAACCCTGGCTAGGCCGAACGACGCACAAGTCGTTGGAAAGGGAATGACCGATATAACATGGTTCTCACATATCGGGTCACAATGTGACCCAGGCGGCGGAGCGCATACGCGGCTGACGTCCAAGATGGGGATCCAAGAAACCGTCTACCACTAGACGTGGGGACTCACCTTGTCCAGACGAATACATAGTACATGATATTCATAGCGTCAGGCGAGGTGAGGTCGGTAGGATGCACTACGACGCAACAGCAGTCTTCTAATCATTCACATGTCTCACAGCCGCTCCTCATCCGCTCACCTTCGGCGAGTGTAAAATGTGGAGAGGGAAAAGAAACAGTCATTTGACTCGGAGCCACTCACTCTTAGACCGTTAAGTCCCAACGCTCGTCCGTAACAACGTCCAGCTCCATACCCGAGCAAAACTGACCGGTCTCCTTCTTACCTGTGGTTGACTAGACGCTTCTGTTCCAGTGCCTGGGCCTTGTCCATACGTGTCTTAGTGCTGTTAGTGGCCGTTGGTCATGTCTCGTCCTTCACGTGGCTTGAGACACGCCTATGTCTCAACGACCCCCAATTCCGATGCGACACTAAGCGGACGCGACACAAGCCACACTCCGTCCTTGCTAATAAGACACATGTCTCGCTCTGCTGCGGACTGTATGGGGTGTCACAGTCACGTTTTCTCGTGGTGAGAATGATCTGCGTATGCCTGCCAGACTCTTGGCTTTTCTCATAGTTGAATGCCCTGCCCGGCATCGTCATCCTAGCGCGTCTGCATGTTTCACTGAGACTTGAGTGTGCTCCGAGACGGCTGACGTTTTGACGATCATCAATCATCCTTTCTGGACAGCCTCTGCCGCATACTGTGGCTTGTTAGAGACACCCGTCGACATGTGCCAGCTATCACTAGGCCAGTTCAGACCACCACTTCGTGGGCCCTCCTCGTGGTAAATGCCATCCATGTCTGCTTCCCCGAAGCAACGGACTGCATGCCGGACTGGGCCAAGGAGCAGCCACTCCCTTAGCGAGGCCGCACTGAACGTGTCGAGTGCGGCTCACATTGCTTCTTCCATAGCCTCGGAGCGCACGCACCCCCTCCGCAGTCAGCCCTTCAAATCACCACTGCCGGTGTCGTTCTAGGTTGCGTCCCTTGCAAAGAAAAGCAAACAATACCGTGCGCCCGACTAAGCAAATATGCCTGCTGACGAGAAGATGACCGAGGGCCCTTGAGCTCGAGGGAAAGGGAAAAGAAGCAAAGGAGCACATTCCTCCGAGAAGGCTTCCATTCACCACCCCCAATTGTCAACCGCCCGCGTGCCGGCGGAAGGGGAAAAAAAAAAAGAAAAAAGAAAAAAGAAAGAAAGAAAGAAAGCAAAACGAAACGCCATGCCGCAGCATGTCCGCCCCGCCGCAGCATGTCCGCCCCGCCGATCTCCATGCCCTCGCCCCCCGGAATTCTGCGGGCGAGAAGAAACAGAGAAGCAATTCCCAGCCGTCGACGGCGTGGTGCGTGGGCCTTGTAGCGTGGTGTTTGAGACAATCATTTTTGCTTCCCCGTCGCCCAGCCAGCCTCCCAGTGGGAAAACCTGGCGCTTGGGATCGTCGTCACCTTTTGCTCGGAGTGCTTGTCGCGCGTGGACTCACGAATATGCACGTACGTGCATGTGAGTGTGTGAGTGTGTGAGAGTGTGTGTTCCCACATAGGTACATGACCGTCGCCGAGCTGTACGCAAATGGACCACATTAACGAGGAGGCTGCGTCGACGCAGGGCGCGAGCGCATCCCACACCCCATTGATCGAAGATGATAGACTATTGACGTCGCTTAAGCCCCAAGAGCCGCCAGGCAGAGGTCAAGACGCGGAGCTCCGCCAGTTCGAACCCGTGTGCCAAGTGTCTGCGAAGGCGGCTTCTGAACTAGAGGCACAACCATGAGCGGCGAGTCCATTCTAGTAGCTTTGGACATTCTTCTACAGCAGTCATCTTGCGGAGGTCTTGTTACACGCCTTGATATAAATTTACAAGTAGTCAAACCAACTTGTCGTTGCCCAATGCCCCCAAAAGAAAAAAGAAAAGACAGACCGCAACAGTGAGCGAAGGGTGTAGTGATGTGAGATGCAACAAAAGCGGACATAATGCATGTTGTCCCCCTTCAGAACGAAGCCAAAAAAAAAAAAAAAAACGCCTTACGCCTTGCCGTACGCTCGCCTCCCGCCAGCGTGTGTATCACATATGTCCCGCAGCCTTGATCCCCCCCTTGGACCTCTCTCCCTTCGTCCTTCATCGGCCCGGAAGAAACAATGGACACAACCCGGCCGCCGCTATGTTTTCCAAGCCAGTGACAAAAGAAAAAGAAATGGGACAGGGAGGAAGCCTCCCTGCAAAGTAACGTCAAGTTATGGTATCATCCCTCTTCATCCTCCAACGTTTTCTACGTCCTCATTACTTCCTGTCCGTCCGACATACTCCACGCCCCCTCATCGCCTACTGGCTAGCCTGCCAAAGAGTCGGACCTCCATGAGGCCCAGGACCACTGGATAAGACACGGCACGGCACGGCTCAGACGCGGGTCATTGGCTTCCTGCGTACGAGGAAGGGGCTGGGCATCTCATCTCGCTCGGGATCCCACACAGCCACCGGCTCACCGCCACTGGCGCGACGCTCCGCAACCCTCTCCTTGAAGTTGCGCTTTGGACTCACGTTGAGGTTCGCGTTCTCGCCGCCAGCAGCGATGACCGCAGAGAGGGGGCGTCCGCCGGCGCGAGCCTGCTGGAGCTCCACTAGGGTGCGCCCCCTAATATTGTTCTTCACCGCAACCTTACCAAGGGGCTCCTGATCCTTCTTGGTGACGGAGGGCTTGCGAGATAGGTTGCCCGAGGAGGTTTCGGCACCAGCGTTGTTGTTTGCCTGGAGATTCGTGGCCGATGGGATCTTGCTCAGACGGCGGTTCGGCGACGGACAACGCTCTCCGCCGCCACGGGCCGAGCTCTGACCCTGCCCAGGGAGTGAGGGTAACGTCTTGTTCGAGTTGAGCCCCGTGGCAGAGGACATTGTCTTCATGCGTGGCACCGGAGCCGTCTTTTGCGACGTCAGCACAGGGCGCGTCTTCGAGGTGAAAGGGTTCTGCCTCGATCTGATGTTGCGTGTCGGAGATGGGATGATGTCCTCGTCATCCGATTCCATGAGCGTAGACTCGCGGGGCACATTCCAAAGAGCGTTGGCTGTGGCTGTCGCATTGGCGCTAAAGATGTTGCCGGGGTTTGTGGACGGCGCCTTGGTTGCCTCGTTGCGTCTCGGTGACAAGGACAGCGATGCGATGGCCATCGGCGAGGGCGACACCATCTCGATATCCATGGGTGTCCCGGCGTGGCCTGCAAACATGGTTTGGGCGCGGCCAAAGGGAGTGCGCGCTGTCTTCTTCGGGAGGTCGTTGGGGGCCTCCGGGCTGTCGTAGGACAGGTCGGTGAGATCTGTCGTCGAAGGGAATTCCCCGTCTCCTTCACCGTCGCCAGCGCCCACCGACGACCTCTCGTAGTCAGTCCTGTCGACAGATACAGACGAGGACATGCTTGTCTCGTGCAGCATTGGTGCTTGCAGGTTAAAGGTGGGCGCCTTCTTGCGGAGCTCCTCCTGGACACGCGAGTGCACTTCATCCTCGAATCTCTTGTTCAGTCTCTCCATCTCGAGCTGCACGAGGCGGTCAATCTCGAGACGCGCCTTGACTTCCCATTCCCTCCGTAGAGTGTTGTCGATTTCTTGGCGCGTGTAATCCTTCTCGGCCTCGAATCTCTCCATCTTCTGCTGCAGCTCCTTCTCTCGTTGGGTCAGGGCTTCCTCCTTTGCCTTGAGCATCTTGTTGAAGTCGACCGTCTCCTTCTCCTTGCGCATCAAGCGCACAATGGGGAGGTGCAGAAGCTGCGCCGTGTCGGGACGGCGGTCTGGATTCACGCGCAGGCAGTCTTTGATGGTGCCCATGAGCTCTGGCGAGTAAATGTCGGGCAGCGGGTTGACCTTGCCCTCCTTGATCTTCTGGACGAGCTGGAAGTGTGTCTTTGCGTTGAACGGCGGCTCCCTAGCACACAGCTCATACATGATGCAGCCGAGCGACCAGATGTCCGACTTGAGCGTGTACTTTTCGGCGGCGCAGATTTCTGGCGACATGTAGAATGGCGTACCAACGTAGGTTGATGCGAAGTCGTGAGACTGGATCATCTTGGCGAGGCCAAAGTCGCCAAGCTTGACCGAGTTGTCTTCTCCGAGAAAGACTGCAGATGGTTAGCTCGCGTGCCTCTCCCTTCCATGAGGCCACTGTCATTTCGACTTACCATTCTCAGGCTTGAGATCACGATGGAGGATGGTCATGGTGCCAGCAGGAACCTTGGGCCGGACCACGTTGCTAAAGAGGCCCATGGCGTTGTTGCCCGCCTCGGGGGGGTTGGTTCCGTAGTGGCAGCGATACAAGGCGGTGACGAGCTGCGAGAAGATGCTCCAGACAAAGGATTCCTTGGCGCGCTCGCCCTTGACCGTCAAGTTTTTGATGATGCGACCGAGGTCGCCGTTGCCGCAGTATTCCATGTACAGGTGAAGGTCCTGGCTGGACTTGAGGTGTTCTCGGTGGAAGTAGCCGACGATATTCTCGTGCCGTAAATGTGAGAGGATTTGAAACTCGGCGTGCAGCTGTTCACGCTCCTTGGCGGACATCTTGAGGTAGCTGATCTCCTTGCGGCACATGACGAAGTTGTCGGCCTTTCGACGGACCTTGCGAATGACCCCAAAAGATCCATGGCCTACGGAGCACAGAGAGAGTACATGTCAGTGTTTGCGACGCGAAAGATTAGTATGAGGATATGTGACTCGACATACCGATCTTCTCGAGGACCTCGTACTTGTCGCCCTCAGTTGTCATGATGGGCGATGCGCGATGGAAGTTGCAAGCAGGGAACACAAACTTCTAATTTCCATAGACGTCGCAGAAACCTTTGGATAGAGTTTGGTGCTGCTTGGGTTAGTATCTGTCTGGTGTTGAGGGTGTCGAGATGGGGGTCGTGGTCGTGCTTGTGCAACTTTGTGAGCGCCGTCATTGAA